GAAGCGCATCGACTACGGCCAGCTGGAGGACTTTAACCGGGCAAGCGGGACGACGCGTACTACAGGGCGTACATGCGTCGCATCCGCAGCGAGTAGCACTGCAGCACGCGCTGAGACGAGGCGTGTGCGCTTGAAGAGAGGTGGAATAGGGAGAGGGGGGAGTAAGTAGAAATGGGTTACATGCATGGGAGTGAAAGGCTGCCGCAGCTGCTGGGGCGGCTTCAGGACGTTGGGCTGAGCCCAACTTCCCTTTCGTGTGTGTGTGTGTGTGTGCATGTGGGTCTGTGTGGAACGAAAGCAGCGAGAGAAAAGCCCCTCCAGCAGTTGCGCAGCGCCAAGAAGAAGTGGGGAGGGGGTGGATTTGTGCGTGGGTGGTGGCGACCACTACCAGTGCGGCTCTGATCGTCTCTGTGGCGTTTTCTGTGCGGCTGGCGATTAACTCCCCCTATTTTTATCTGGCTGATTAACTGCCTGTTTGTATGCGTGTGTTTTATTATTATTATTTCGTTTTGCCCTTGTTGGAGGGCGGGGCGGGCGCAGTTCTTTGAGCTCAGCCCGCCCTAGGCCACAGCCCTGCCGGCTGCCTCCACGCGGTTGGAGGGAGGGGCGCAGAGTGAACCAAAATGTCCTCTCTCTCTCTCTCTCTCTCTTCTTGTATCATTCCGTCCCCTTGCGTACTTTTCTTTTTGTCTTTGTTGTTGCTGTTGCAGGAATAGGGGAGAAGGGCGCAGCATTGTGCGTCGCACACAGGGGTTAGAAGTCAGGCGCGGCCGCTCCTACCGTTGCGCATACATACACACACATCTACTATTCGCTCGTGCGCTGCTTTGTTGTCGTCGTCGCTTTGCTTGTTTTTTTTTCTTTCGTATTCCTACGAGGCCCGTGCCTGTTGGTTTTGTTTTGCCTTTTTTTTTGTTCTCTTGTAGTCCCGCGCCATCTCACTCCCTCCTCTCTCTCTCCCTGCAGGCGGCGGCATCACAAATGTGGCGGCGACTCTGCGCGCAGCGGGTGGTGGTGGTGCGGGCGCAGCTGCAGCAGCGGGCGGGGGCGCCACGCCGCGGTCTCCTGCTGCGGCACACGGGCGCAGTATTATCGACGGGCCGCACGGGGCAACAAGGGCGGCGGGGGGAAACGGGCGTGGAGGGGGAGAGCGCCGAGCGGCTCGCCGGTGAGGTGACGGCGACGCGGAACGAGTCGCAGCTTATGGCGGAGGAGATGCAGCAGGCGGGCAGCGCGCGCCTTCCCGCGGCGGCCGCGAATGACTGGACGGAGCCCGCGCTGGAGGACCTGGATCGCTCCATCCCTCAGGTGGACTGTGCGTTTATCGCCGACCTCATCCGTGCCCGCACCGCGCGCCGGAAGGAGTTCCTGCAGGCGAAGGAGCGGGTGCGGGCGAAGGTGGCCGCGCTAAGCAAACGCCAGGCATCGTCGGTGGTGGAGGCTGCGCGGTTCCCCGTCCTCGGCGCGGGCCGCGGCGGCAGTGGCAGTAGCAGCGATGGCCTCACTGCAGGCGACGACGGCGAGCAGCAGCAGCAGCAGCAGCAGATCGCGGCGTCGCCGGAGGTCGTTGCGCAACTCACCGAAGAGGAGCGCGACGCCCTGCTGTCGTCGCGGCCGGAGTACGACGACGGCTTCGTGCTGCTGGACTGCCGCACGGTGAATGAGGTGACGTCGTGGGGGATGATCGAGGGCGCCAAGCTGCTGCCGGCGCACGAGATGTTCGACGGCTTTCACCTCACGCCGGAGGAGTTTGAGGTGGAGTTTGGGTTTGCCAAGCCGCGGCCGGAGCAGAAGGTGATCTGCTACTGCCAGTACGGCCCCCGCTCCCTGATGGCGGCGCAGATACTGAGCTGGATGGGCTACATGAACGTGCTGCACTTCCGCGACGGCTACTACGAGTGGGGAAAGCAGTACAACCTGCTGCTGCGCCGCTGGATGCTGCACGACAAGGAATCCGGCAACGAGGTGAGGCGGCAGGTGGCGTTTCAGGCCGGACTCGAGCTGCAGCGTGAGATTGCGCCGGAGTTCAACGCGCTGCCGAGGCAGGAGGCGGACCGCTACCGGCTTGACACCACCCGCAGTCGGGGGAGGCTGCTTGTGGGCGCCGGGGTGCGTGAGGCGGCGTGCAGGCAGGTGGCCGCGCTCGTCGCCGGCATGCAGCCGCCGCTGCTCCCCGGCGTCCTCGACGACGCCGACCGGGCGGCTGCCACGCCGGACGGCGGCGCGGTCGGCAAACGTGAGCGGCACCTCCAGCGCTTCCTGCGGCAAACGACGGGGATGGACGCGCGGGAGGACACGCGGCCGGCCATGGGCGTGGCGGAGGCGCAGCAAAAAGTCATGGATGCCTTCACGCGTCGCGACGGGGGTAGTCACCCGCAACATCGTTAAAAACGAAGAGGAGCAAAAAGAAAAAGAAAAAACGAAGAATGAGAGAAACAAAGCAAACGACTTTATTCACATGTAATGTGTGTGCACACGCAGACAGTAGTTTTTTTTTTTTTGCTGTTCTTCTTCTTTTGTTTTTGTTCTTTTTTCCCCCCTGCACCTTTTAGGCACCTGCCCTTTTTGCTGCGCCTCCAGCGAGGGGGAAAAGGAGGGGGGAGGAAAACGAACAAACAAACCAGCAAAGTGTTTTGTGTGGCCTCTTGACGTTGGCGTGGGCGGTGCTGCCCCATCGCCGCGGCCTCTGCGGCTTCGGGCCGTGGCGTTTGTGTCTCTGCCTCTGCCCCCCCTCCCCCACCCCCAGTGCTCCTCCCTCCCTTCCTTCATTACCTCCTTCCTCCCACACACACACACACACTGCCAGGGACGCGGCAGTAGCGCACTTCGCAACTTACACGTCATTCAGCAAAGTACTCAAGAGAAAAACAGCAAGGCAAAAAGAAAAAATATATATATAACAACAGTAAAGGCAGGGAAACTAAAACCAGCTAAACACACAAAAACAAAAACTGAAGACGGGCGGCAAAAGGTTTGTGGCTCATACGCAAGTAAAAACACAAAACAAAACAAACCACAAATCGCAGGGGAGAACTGAGGAGAGGCGGTGAGAGGGTTGGTTTGCGTACGGGAGGG